AAGCACATCCTGGCTAGTAGAAACTAACCATTAGCATTGGCAGCTTCACCACACAGCAGAACTCCTCCAGGATTGTGTTATTTGTGGAGATAAAACATCAGCATTGCAGCGCAAACACAGTCAGTGGTAGAGTCGTGTTGATGTTAGCCAATACTCGACACCCTGAGAGCTCCTCAACCCACATATGTTTTTAAAGACACCAAAGCTTTTAAATAGCTGGCATCTATGGATTTTAACCTTGTACTTTTTTTGCTTGAACTGCTTATGTTGAAGCAAGGGTAGGAAACCTTGGTCCTGGAGAGCCACTATCCAGCATGTTTTAGAGGTTTCCCTGCTTCAACGCACTTGATTTTAATAAGCAGTTGATTAACCGGCTTCGCAGAGCCTGATGAGCTGCTGAACAAGTGAAATGTGCTAGTTCCCTATGTTTTAAAGTCTGACATGTTTGTTGCTTGCCCTTTGAGATCTCTTGATATAAAGAGCATCAAAAATTAAATAAATTATTATTATTATATTAATATGAGATGAGATGTACAAATATCAAGAAAAATGTATTCAAAAGCCTGTTGTGTTCTGCTCTGGCTTTCTTCTACTTCCTGAAACAGGAGCGTCAGAGCTTTTCCTTTTATGAATAATCTCAGATCAGTTACATCTCAGATCCCCTGTGTAGTGAAATAGAGTGATGTAACAATCTAGAGTTGTATTTTAATATACTGTAAGTAGATCTAGTTTTTATAAACAATGTTTTAAACAATGTTTAAGTCAAAAACAACAACAATGAGCCCCCCCCCCCCCCCACACACACACACACACACAAATACATAAATACAAAATAATATGGCTTATTTGAGAGATTTTAGTAAAATTTTGCTGTTATTTTTTAAAATTATGTTTCTATTTTCAGTTGGAACTCAGACTCATTTTGCAGAAAACATCTGATCTGTAACAGCAATCCTTTCTATTACAAAGAAGCTTTTATTAAAGGAAAAAGTTTCTTACTTTTCCTAACAGACATTCATTTAATTGGCTGCTGATGAGAAAACGGCACAAAGCAAGATCTGCAAAGATCTGCATACTCATGGCTGAGTATGTGCGCATGGAGGAGGGAGCCCACGAACGTGTGAAGCCTCATGTTTCTACCATGCAGCTCATTATTATTAATGACTCAGAAGCCACTTGCCAAGGTTGCCAGACTGGTCTCTGTGGCCGAGAATCTGAGCTGCAAAAATATGAGTTGAGAGTTCTGAGAGGCTGAAACTCCAAGATCTGAAACTTCACCACCAAGTGAAGCTATAATGGCATTTTAGAGAATAACAGAAGTTTAAAAAAAATAATTTTTGAGGATCATTCTGTCTAATATCAAACATGCAAATAACTACAACTGGTGAGGTGTCGCAGTTTTCTCAGCCTCAACATTTATTCCTGCAGAGATTCAGTCAGGCTGACATTGTCGTCTCTGTGCCTGAGCAGAACAACACAAATCCACTTAGGGAAGGGTGTGTGTGTGTGTGTGTGTGTGTGTGTGTGTGTGTGTGTGTGTGTGTGTGTGTGTGTGTGTGTGTGTGTGTGTGTGTGTGTGTGTGTGTGTGTGTGTGTGTGTGTGTGTGTGTTCTTTTAAATCAGAAAAGGTTCCACTCATCCATGATGCCATGAATAAAGTTTTGCTACAACCCACATCCTCTGCTTGAAAAATATTTCTAAATACTTTTATAATATAGTTATTTAATAACACTCTAACTTTGACATTTGTCTTGTGTTCTGATAACAAAATTTATTTATCCTGAGATGAAATCAACCACAGAATATCTTATCGGTCAAATTGTCAACACGGGCTTTCTTCCCTGACTTTTACAATACGTCAAGTAGACACACTGGTGGTTTATTGCTTTCTATTATTAAAAAAGCTTGTCTGAGACACTTAATTTCAACGTACAAATCTAGTTTAGGGGAAAAGCACCGTGTGACAGTATTAGGTTTTTATTAGATGATTTATTTGTTGTGCACCCTTTTTATAAAGAGTGTATATTTAAGCGATGTAATGCATTAAAATGTTCTCCAGCTGTTTTGGTTTGCTATTTTTAGGAAATATCAACATTCTCCAGCCAAGACAATGGCCCAGATATACCAAGCCATGGAATGAAGTGGTTGTATGTTATAAATGGTGCCAAAGGAAGCATCCAGCAAAGCAGATGAAGATGTAAAGTATCTATGTTCATGTGGTGCTGCTCAAAGCTCTGACAGAGGGAGAAGGGGGTGTGGCCTCACCATCAGAAGCAGGTGTGCAAAGACACCAGCAATCAGTGGTCTCCCACTTCATATGGGAGCCACTGGAGGAGACAGAAGAGACGGACGTGGACTTGCAGAAGGACAGATGGTGTTCCGCACCTTAATGAAATTGTTTCAGAACAAATCTCTGAGTGTGATTTGTCTGGTAGATGAATCCGCTCCAGTCCTTTTACCACAATTAGAAAGCCACCCAGGGATGCTTAGGGCTCTGTGGCGCTGTCATGGCTGACACACCCCTTCATTGCTGCATGGAGAAACCAGTAGGAGGTGGTCCCAATTTTGAAAAAGGGGTGTGTTCCTGCTATGAAGGGGTCACACTTCTCAACCTCATCTGGAAACTTCACTTTGGAGTTAGAAAAGAAACTTCAACCTACGCAGGTGAACAGACAGGAAGCATACCTGCTACATGCAGAACCCATCATCTGAATGGATTTTCTCCACAGATACAAAACCTGCAGCTGGAGCCCCTCTGTGGTGCTGAACCCCTCCCTAAAGCGCCATCCCTCACACACACATGCACACACACCACACGTGTGACTGTGTCAATAGCAGCAGCCTGAGCCAGCCGATTGCTATCCCTCCCTCTCCAGGATACATTCACTTTTTGCCATCATTGTTCCTCTTCTGCAGCTGTTTTATTGGTAGATCTGAGAGCATGTCATCAGTCTCATTTCCATCCTATTTGTGTAATCTGCAGCTTTATTATTGGACTACAGCCCAACCTTAGATATGTACCATCAAAAGGACAGCACGAGATTTGGACCCAGTAAAATGCTTTGCCACTTTTAAACTATATACATAATGTATCTAAATAAATGGAGTAACCAACATTTAAGTCAGAAATGGAGAGAATGTAGAATCAAGATCAGATACTTTGTACAAACAGAGCTGAGCAGCAAGTACAAAAAGTTATCAGAACCTTTGTATCCAGACACCAGATGTCATGATCCGCCCCGGCCTCCCTGCTGTGTCTCTCTTGCCTTGATTAACCTTATTGTTCTCACCTGTCCCTCATTACTCTGCCCATGTGTTCCTGATTTCCCTGTGTATTTATACCTCCCTCCTTGTTGCTGTCTTCGTCGGATCATTGTTGTTTGTTCATGCGTGTTTTGTCCCGTCTCTCCCGTTCTACAATTAAACCATTTTTATTTCATCCGTGCCTGCTCTTCTGCCTCCGGGAACCCTCCACCACACTTGGTCCACCATCTTCACACCCCCACATCATGACACCAGAAGCAAATGACTCTACATTAAATATACAATAAATGTGCATTGAGAAAAGATATATTCTATGTAGCGCATTGTGAAATATCAGCAGGAAGTCCTCAGGTATAGAATCTGAGATCACCACTCAGATTTCAGCTTTCCCATGAATTAGGTAATACATCAGATATTTAGGATATAAAATAATATTTAACTTGACCAACAGAGCTCCTAGTCTACTGCAGATTAGTGATTAATCACTAAATAGGTTCATCCCATCATCCAGAGTCGGTGGCTGATTCATGTCGGAACCGTCTTTGTGTTACTTTCATGGAAATTTCATCAGCTGACCGTTTTAATATAAACGAGTTTTCCTATTTCAGAGTGTATTATCTTCCGTTTTCTGTCCTGGTGCTGTGATTCTGTCCCCATTCTCTTTTACCATTTCCTTTGTAACAACTGACATCTGCTCTATTAGCACCATGCTGACTGTTAGCCAGTCGGCTGCAATGGCTCTCACTTTTAAACGCGTGAGCATCACCATAAATAGATGAGTTATTTATGTTAAAAAAAATGAATTGGAAAACAAAATTGATGTTTTTGCTCAGTTCTTAAATCTCTGATTACCAGAAAACTACAGAATCCATTTTAAAGTGCTTCTGCTAGTTTATAAATGACTCAGTAGTACGGGGCCAAAATACATGTCAGACCTCCTTCAGGTATCTATGCCCAGCAGGGCTCTGAGGTCCAGGAAGTGGTCATCTGGTAGAACCCGGGTCAGAAACAAACAGGGTGAGGCTGCTTTTAGCTGGAATCAGCTTCTTCATGACCTCAAATGTGCCCCAACTCTAGAAACGTTTAAACTTTCTAGAAAACTTTCTGTTTTTCATCAGCCTTTGAATGGATGTCTCTTACGCTGCACCTTCTGCGCTATAACTGCTCACCCTTTAACTTTTTTCTGATTCTTAAATCAACTGAATTTATTTTGCGTATTTAATTTGACCTAAATTTACTTGAGCATTTTAATGATGCTGTCACATTGATTTTAATGTTATTCTCGCTAATGGAAAGCACATTGAACTGCCTCTGTGAATGAAACACAAATAAAGCTGCCTTGCCTTAAATTAAATATTCAAAAGGATTTCCTTAAATTTATCTTAAAAAATATAATTTAATGTTAGCTATTGGAGTATATCCTTTCAGATGTGTTTAGCTTTACTTTGACAAAATATAGCAAATGAAAATTTACAATAAATAGGTGATCCATAGTTTTAGGAAGGTTTTGCTTTAGTAACATGTGAATTATGTCTTCTGATAAAATATTATGTTTTTGCTGCACTTTAGACTTTTAAAGTACAACAGAAGATTCAATCACAGGTGGATGACAAAGTAAAAATCAAAGGAAGGGGATAACCCCCCCCCCCCCCCCCCCCCCCCCCCACACTGGTGCTTTTCTGAAAGCCTGTCATTTAGCGGTTTACTCAAATCAAACATGCAATTCCAAGGCTTACCATGGAGAGCCATAGATCCTGAAACCGCGAACGGTGACTTCCGAGTCCTGCAGGTAGATGCAGTTGGTAAGCAGCGACTGGACGTTCTCATAATTCTCTGGCTTCAGCTTGGAGGCTGAAGGAAAATAGTAGAAGTCCTGCTTGATGAGATCTGCCATGAATTCCTGGTCAAAGGTCAACTCATGGTTTCCAGCAATAACTATTTTGATATCATAGGGCAGGGTACCTGGTGAGGGAAGAAGAGGAGTGGGGAAGTTTTGGGAAAAAGGGGAAAGAGAAGATGAGCATAAATGATGAAGGAGTGCATTGGCAGTGCAGGTCGATTAAAGAAAACAGGAAAGCTGGGAGTCGGAGTGAGAAATATTAAATATAGTCAGATAAAGATAACAGTTATTAAAGACGAGGAGCGTGTGTGAGGGATGAGGGGGATTTGGTAGAAAAGTAAAAGGAGAAAAATAGCACGTCAGGACAAAGAGAGAAGATGATGAAAATGGAAGTGGAGGAAAAGTGGAGGCAGACAGGAGGAAACGATAATGGGAAGAAAGAACATTGAGAACAATATGAATCCAAACTCAGGTGGCATTCAGATGAGTCGTGCTTCTCCCTTCTATCCCCAGCACATCTGTACGTCTAGACTGAAACAGAATAGGTGCTTAGAGCATCGTAAACCCCTTTGTGCTATCTGTTTATTTTATTTTTATTTTATGTTTTTTTGTCAACACTCCCGGCACATTTGAGATCTCTGCCTCCCCGTCCCAGTGCCCTGTGCCTCCTTAATCACCGTCAAGATTAAAAAAGTTTTCTGAATCGATTCCTCAGAGAATCTCTCTGGTCAAAATATTATTCTTCATGCAAACAAAGCTGAGCAAACCGACACAGATCTCTACGGGCGACCACTGATAAATGAACGAGGCAGGATTTTGAAAGACTCACAAACTACAGCAATCAATTTGACCCTGGTCCAATCCAACCCTGCCTCCTTTATTCACTCCTCCAATTCAGAGGCTTTAATTGGCTATTCAGAGCTTGGCACAGCAGGGTGCAGCATTGATCTCAGCTTGTCGAACCAAGCAGCGTCTGGCTATTCACAGTTCTACATGACGTTTTTAAAGCCCAGCTCCGAAAACAGAGAGTCAACATTGACAAACATCTGGGGGTCGTCTGTGTGAGGTAGACGGAGAGTTCAATCACCATCCTTCCTCCATTATTACCGCCGGTGTAGCGCAGCATGCTGCCCGGCACACTCGTTTGTGTGTCAGCATGCGCACATGTGACTGACTTTCCAGCATGGATGTGAGTTTGCATGCATCTGTGCATGAACATGTCATGTTAGTGAAAAGGAGTAATTAAACCGAGCTTCAGAAGAGGCTGACAGCCCGGCGACAGCTTTGTCATAACAGCCAATCATAGCTCAGTGGCAGCGGAGGGATAGAGGGAGGGAGAGAAAGGAGACGGCAAAAGAAATACTTTAGGAAACCCAAAAAATCCTTCAGAGTGAAGGAGGAACAATAACAAGATGAAAGCAGCTGTCAAAGAACACCCGTCTCTGCAGTTTGGGTCTGGGCTGCTGCATCTCCATACTCAGCTCCCATTTGTTTGGAGAAGGGCCTTGTGTTCAGCTGTCAGACAGACGCCCAAAAAGCCCCCGTAAATGAGGGACTGCGCCAACACAAAGGCTAATGGACACAAAGACGATGCACAACAACAAATATTTCATTTTTTCCCTTTCAATGCATTTGAAACAACTTTCACTTGATAGATTCAAAACAATAATCCTGAGATTTGCTTTTCTTTAAACAAATGTCGACTGAGTAGAAAACAACTGAACTCCCGGATATTTGTGCTGCAGCCAGAGACACGGGAATGACCACAATCCTTTTTCAGTTGTAGAGTTTCACTTATGGAGATACAGTCGGATAGGAAAGGATTCTCATAAAGTCCTTTTTTAAATATGGTAAAATGTGCCTGTGAGTGATGTCATCAGAATGCTGCCCTGTATTTAGCCTCTTTAGCAGATCCTAAAATCTAACAAAAATCCTGATCCAACCTTGAATGTACAAAAACCTTTAACATATCCCACTGAAACAAAAACAAAGCCATGGGGAAAACCCCATAATTCAATTTGTCTCATCCTCAGCAGCTTAGCAACAGATGAGGCCATTTTCTGAAAAAACCTTATGAGATGTTTTCATGCCTGTAATTTGGCCTCTGGCATAAATTAGTTCATATTTATGTTTATTTATAACTTTATAATCATAGTTCAGTTCCGGTAGTTTGTATCCGTTAAATCCACGGTATGACCTCTGAGGCTTATCAAAGAATACTGTGTGTGTAGATAGATCTATGCATGTGTAACTCTTGATTTGTAACTTGCGTTTACATTTAGTGTGTAACTTCACATTTAATATAACCCTTTCAGTACATTTTCAAGGCTCATAAACACATATATGTGTAAATAAAAATAATTTAACTGTTAAAAATAAAATGTAGTTGTATCTTTTATAACTACACTATCATCTATTTTTTCACAGAAAAACATATTTGCCCCTTCAACACAAGTTTAGACTAAATCCAAAGGAAATTCAAAATTCCCACCTTCCACCCAGCATTCAAATGCACCATGTACGCACAAATCAGTCAGGTGAGAAAAGAGTCTCAAAAGGATTTTTGTACTTGTAAACTGATCTGTGTGTAATGTAGTTTAGTGTGTGTGTACCAGGTGATTTGTGTGTGTAGGAGCCGCTTACATGTTAGGTCCCCCTTTAGTCTTTAGTATAAATGTGGAGCCCATATGCCAGCGCTGCAGTGTGCTTTCAGCACATATACTGTATGTTTTAGATCATGAACACGACTGATTTGATGAACTGCTCCTGTGGAAACTAACGAACTCTGAGGAGTTATTTCAGCAGTTAGATTAAGGTGTTACAAAAACAAATGCACCACGAGAAGACAAGTTTCACTTTTGCTTTTATAACTGAATTAATAGCTGACTCTAGGGAGTGCTAATAGCAAACCAAAACTGCATAGTTTAATTTTAATGTGTAACTTTTTTATTTACTACAGACGTACTGTGCTTGATCGCTACGTAAGTTAAGATTTTTTGCTTTTTCATTGTTGTTTTTGGCAGCAGTTTGGCTCAGAATACCATCCTAATACACACTGAATCAGGCATGTGAACCAAATCCTCTGAGTCCAGAATCAGACGGAGTATCATGATTAGCACCTTCATCAACAAACTCCAAATCCAGCCCGAAAAGCCCTTACTCTTCGGCGGAGGATCTAGCTGGCAAGGGCCAATGTGTTATTGTAAAATACTAATTACATACTAAAACTAGTTATTATTAGAAATAAATAATTACTTGGTTCACAGTGATAACTTGTTTTTACTGTAATTAACATGATGTTGTATTCACTAAATCTACTGACAAAATGTATTGTTGTATTAACATAATAGCGTTTTTAACTCTTTCAGCCTCACAATTTAATTAATTGCACTGTTGGTCCAATAATAATGGAGATATCCATTCATTCATTCATTCTTTCAAGTACATTATTTCTGTAATACTATTCTTAGGATCTAATTAAAATTATAGTGATTTGACTTTATGGATCAACAGTCTGCCATATTTTTCTAGTGAACTTATTTGTAGGTCCTTCCTCTCCTCCTCCTTGTTCTGCTGCTGGATGTAGCAGCAGCATCCTATGATGATTAAGACCAGGTCCAGTCCAGCACATCACATTTTTGTCAACGCTGACATCCTTCCACAAATTCAACACGGTGGCTTGTGTGTAATTTGGCACGAACATGCCATGTAGTCTGCAGGTATGTTTACGACTCTGAGAACTTTAGGCCAGTGCATAATTTTAGCATGTTTTGACAATTTAGTGCACAAGATGCTGAGAGAACAAAACAGGCAGTACATACGTAGAGAAACAGTGTGCATGAACACCCGCTGAAGCCACAGAAATCTTCCGGAGCACAGCCACTATTGTTCTGAGGCTGCTAGTCTGGGTGGTCTGCTCTTTGAAGAGGAAAATCCCCGGTCTGGGCAAAGCTCTGGCATATACATGGGATTACTGTCCATTGTGTATGTGCGCTAAAGTGTGTTTGTGTGCACACAGGAGCCAAAAAATGTTTTTAAAAGGCAGAAATTAAATGTCTGCCAACACAAAGCTGGTTCCAAAATGTGTGTGTGCGCACATAGATATTAAAAACTAGACGCCAAAACATTTAGCCAAATACCACACACTCACAAACACAGCACGTGTGTGTGTGTGTGTGTGTGTGTGTGTGTGTGTGTGTGTGTGTGTGTGTGTGTGTGTGTGTGTGTGTGTGTGTGTGTAGAAATGATTTAATAAAGGACCAATTATTTCCTGCCAGCCCAAAATGATTAAATTAATACCAATGCCTGTTTCAGGAGGAGTGAGTTTAGAGAGCAGTGGTCAAACTTTTAGCTGAAATCTTATTCAACCTTGATTATTGAGGTTATATCATCTGAGCTTTTCCAAACCTTTATTTTATGTATTATAAACATGGTAAAGCTGCATTTATATAGAATAATTTGACACTTTAAGCTGTTGCTTCTAAAATGTTTGGTCCACATAGACTGCCACTTAGCTGAAAGTAGAAGCTAGATTTTATTTTTATAGCAAAAAGCACAGCCAGATGTGGTTTTCATGGGCACGGCCTTTCTGTCCTTTTATGGTACAAAAGTGACAGCATCTGTCACACAAATAAACAGCATTCAGAAAGTTTGTTATCGAGTCACGTAATTTGGGTAATTCACTTGTTAGCATTCGTTTACAAAGCTGCCAACACAGATTAACACATGGAAAAAACAAGTGGGGCAGGCTTAAGACCAACAACCAATAAAAACTCGGGAGCGCTACGTTTGAAATGTCCTGGTTTGTCACTGTTACTGTGGTCAATTCGTGATTGTTTTAGACTTTCAAAAAGAATTTTGCTAATGTTTGACCTGTTAATCAAGTGTGCAAAGGTGATCAAATATGGTCACTTGCCCCCTAATTAAAGTGGGCCAGAGTATGCCTTTACAGCTGCTTTCAGCTGAAACAAACGCTGCTTCAGAACAGGTGCATGGTGGCACAGTTGGTAGCACTTTTGACTAGGAGCAAAAAGGTTGCAGGTTTGAACCTGAGAACAGAGCCTTTATCTGTGTTTACAAAAATTGAAAATAAAAGCAAGAAGAGAAGTTTCAGAGAGAACAG